ATAGGTGTTTTATTGAAAAAACTTCAAAACAATTGAGTTTCAATGTGTTTTCAAAACAGTTCACTTTCCACGCATTAGCTCGTCATCATGCCTTACTTTCAAATATACAAAAAAGGAATATTTTTTACATTTATTTTTATTTTCATGCAGTAAAATACTGCTTTAAGGTGTAAACAACACGTTAGTACGTCATTCATCCATTGGTTTCACTAAAATGTTTGAATAATTGACGAAATTCGAATAGATAAATATGATCATGGTTGGACCTACGCATGATGATGGTTGGACCTATGTGTTTTCTAAGACGGCCACTAGGTGCGCTTCGGTTTGTCTACATCCTTCATGCGCAGCTGATTTGAAATTCGATTTCGTTTTGGCCGAGTGATCAGTTTCTTCGATTGAAAAAATGGCTAAAGAAAAGAATTATACGGTCGAAAATCTTGAAGAGGCTGTTCTTTTAGTAAAAAATAAATCACTTACCGCTTATCAGGCATACAAAAGGTACAATATGCCGAAAACGACTCTTCACGCAAAAATTAAGGGAAGCCATGGCAAGAAATATGGAAGGGAAATAGTGTTGAGTGTTGATTTGGAGAACCAGCTAGGGGATTGGGTTTGTATGTGCGCTGCTTCTGGCAGTCCCAAGACGACCAAAAAGATCTTGGAAGCTGCTAAAGACCTTGCGTCCCTAGTTGGGTGTTAATTTAAAGGAGGAATCCATCGTCAGGTTGGCTGAAAGGGTAACCACCGATTTCCTAACTACCACGAAAGCGCCGAAGGAATCTGTTAATATTAATTTACATTAAGCACTTCTCATACACCTTCTGTGTGTAAATTAACTTGAAATAAAATGTTTTTTTTTTTTTTTTCTTTGGTTTGTTTTTTCCGTCGGTCTTGTTTTCCGTGCTGAGCACCAATGCTACCGACGTGCCAGGAAGGCAGCTCCCACACCTGGACCCTACCTATCGACCCATCAACTCATGAACCGGGGACCAACGGCTTTACTTCCCATTAGAAGGTAGGCGTGATCAGAGATGTTATGCCTCAGAACAACCCGGCGGCGCCGACTGGGATTGAACCCAGGCCTGCTGGGGTGAGAGGTTATCACGCTTACCACTACACCACCAGCGCCGTTAAAATAAAATGTTAACAAACTAAAAATTGCTAACTAAAACTTATTTCCGAAAAAAAAACTCCCAGGAGAAAAAAAAAACTATAAAACCGGAATTAAGTTCTGATATTCTGTCATTTTAAGCCCCTAAATTCCCCGGGGGCACCCAGAACATGCCCGGAAGTGGCCAATGTGGTCCAAGGCACTCAATTTTGTTATTGATCTTGTTATCGAATTTGGAAGTAATGTGAAGTTTCGCATGATAGGTTTTATTCCTTCCATGTCAAAATTAGGTCCATGTTCCATATACCCTGGAACTTGTTCCGGCCATATCTCCGGAACCAGTTGACCGATTCCAAAAATATTCGATAGCTTTCAATACCTATAGTTTGATTTTAAAAAATTTCCAAATCGGGTCAATGATTTCCGAGAAAATGAGCCGAGATGAATAGCTAATGCGTGGAAAGTGAACTTTTTTGAAAACGAAGGTAAACCCAAATTTCTTGATTTTTTAAAACAGCAAATTCATATAAACTGTATAAAAAGGATTTTTTTCATGATACCAATAAGCTTTAAACAAAGTTTTTGAACAAATATAGGCTAAACTAGCATTTGCAAAAATAGGTCAACCATCATCATTTTTTAGGTCCAACCAACATCATAATTCTTTGCTGAATAAAAACGTTTTATCAAATCATTTGTTCATAATATTTAACTTTTTATGTTATTATTAGAAACAAGAAAGGTAGATCTTTCCCCTAATCACGCATTTTTCATAATTATATGTTGAATTCATAAAAAAAATACGACATGAATGTTGACGTCGTGTGAAACCAGCCTAAATAGGTCCAACCATCATCAGTTACCCTACGTTGTATCCGGAGGTACATAAACGCTTCTAATTTTTATTGCAAATACACTACACCCAACCGGTGGATTCGCTTACAATTATGTGTGATTCATCATCAGAGGATATTATATGTTCTTTAAATCTAGTTGCTGAAGTTCTCTTGGTTTGTCCTACGTATACTTTGTTACAATGATTACAGCTTATTTTATATACACCTGCTTTACCTAAAACATTAACTGGATCTTTAGTGGATCCTAACAATGATTTCAATTGGTTATGTCTACTGGTGGAAACTAAATCTAATCCTAATTGTTTATACTGTGGTCTTAGCTTACAAGTAATATCTTGATCAAATGGAACGGACACTCGTTTCAATAGTTCAGGTGAGGGTTGTAAATAATTTTCTTTGTAGAATTCTCGCTTTTTTATTGAAGATTGCCTGGATTGTGGTCTCTTTGTATCTGTTGAGTCTCGCTGTTTCGCAGATGTACTGTAATTCCTTAACCTTTCCTCGATCGCTGAGTGGAAAGGTTTGAATCCGATGAATCATGTGGTGTAAGGCGGCCAACGAATGGTTAGAAGTATATGGGATAACTCTTTTGGTGCTTGTTGGTTTCCTGTAAATTTCGTACTCAAGCGAAGAAGATGATGACGATTCCCTGATGACTAGAAGATCGAGAAATGCGAGTTTCCCGTCTTTTTCTACCTCGTGAGTGAATTTGATATCCTTGTGAATTCTGGTGATCTAATCTAAAATTTGTGGAAGGGCTTCCCATTTAACTACGCTGAAGATATCGTCAATAAACCTCCACCAATGTAAATAGATGATGAAAATAGATTTTTTTTGCGTGTATGCATTGAAAAGTCTGTATTGCTCAATTGTTCGGATTGTTCTTGAGTATGCTGTGCAAATTTGGACCCCTCACCACGAAACCCATATTGTCCGAATTTAAAGAGTGCAACTTTGCTTCGTTCGATTCGTCCTACGGAGATTACCTTGGAATGATCGGCTCAGGTTGCCTCCCTACGAACATCGGTGTCGCCAACGGCATACATATCTTAAACGCAAGTTTGCATTCGTTATTCTAAGTAACCGGATTGACTGCCCTGATCTTCTGCAACAGGCAAACTTCTACGTTCCAGTGCGACGCTCCCGCCAACGTTCGTTATTCTGGGCTGCTAGACATCGCACCGTGTTTGGGCAAAAGCATCCACTTGATACATGTTTTAATTTGTTGGATGATGCTGAACTTTTTGACTTCCATATAAGTAGAAATAGGTCAAAACTAGAATAAGACAGCTAAAATAGTAATTTAAGTGATCCAGACTGCATAGCTGAAGACGTAGTTAAATAAAATAAACTCCAACACTTTACGTGCGAGGGAATTTCCCCGAAGTTCATAAAGCCAGTACACTGGAGTCGCTTTTTACGCGGGTGATCCGTCCCGCGTAAAAAAAAACCGCGTAAAAAAAAACCGCGTAAAAAAAACCGCGTAAATTCCGAAATCCGCGTAAAAAAAAACCGCGTAAAAAAAAAACCGTGTAAAAAAACCGCGTAAAAAGCGACTCCAGTGTATTCATGTGGGTGGGAAACATCACAACTACGGGCAACAAGTTTCTGATGAGTTAGGAGTGATTTCTTGGTTGCTGTCATTTCACATCAATACTAAAATAAGAGAAATATGTAATGAAATAAACATAAGCATTTAAATAGAATGTATTTCTGCTCTGCGTTTAGTTATTATTATTATTTAATTTAAATAAGAATTTCTCTCATAATGAAAAAAAATCTGTTTGATAACTGGCTAACACAGTGCAAAAAATAATTGTATTGTCCGTTAAAGATGACAGAACAATAATCATATTTACTGGGTTTTCCAGTTAATATTACTGAACACAACTCGGATTAATTACTGAATGTACAGTTGTTTTTGACAGATTAACTTAACTTTAATTTACGGACAGTCCTGTAATAAAAATTGATTGCTGTGGCGATTACTGGGTGATCCGAAATTCAAAAACCAAGTAAACTTTTACTGACTTCGCTTATCCAAAATAAGTGTGTAGCGTTGCAGGAAATTGGTAAATCAATACTTTTTACAAAGCTTTCGGTAAACATTATATTTTTCAGAATAAATCCAGCATAAAAGTGCTGAAAACGATTTATGAACTTTTGAGTGTAAGACGCGAACACTTACAATTTTTTGAAATTTTCACCGGGAGTACATAAATTGAAGGAGCAGCACGCTGATAAACGGTGGCCGATGAACAAAAAACTCTTCCGGTAGTCGGAACTGGACTGCTTCCATTCTGGTCTGATCAAGCTGATAGAAGCCGATTGTTGGGAAATTTTACCAGTAAATTGAGCCGCGGCCGTGTGAAGCGTTCTAAGAGAATGTACGAAGGTCAACTGGTTCCTCATGTCACGCTATGTGGTCGATCACTGATTGTCGAAAATTGAAACGGAGCTGGTTGTGACCTATGGAAGGATGAGGCATCGATTACATTTTTCACCGATGCGATGAAATCTGCTGCTGTGCGAGCGTCAATTTTGATTTCTCTGAATGTGGTCGAATTTTTTGGAGGATGATTTACAGAAACAGTTCTGCACGATGAAGAAGAATTTGTGCTGATTGACACAATTCCCTGCGAATGATTTCAAAGGAAGGAAACGAATCAAGTTAATCAAATTTTCGACCGAAAAATATAGATGAGACCTAATGAAAAAATAATTGAATTGAATGGTTTGTTTAGTGCGACAGAATGAATTGAGTGCCAGTTAGGTCTAACTAAAATGTTACAGTAATTCTAACCAAAATACTTACGTTGTTTTTTAAACTAATTTTTTAAACTAATAATGTTTTTTCTTACCCTATTCCAAATGATCACTTCTACTCGCATCTAAAGTGCGAACTGTTTTCACTGTACGTCACCCATCTAGTAAAAAGGCGAGCAGCACCCAGCCGGCGCGTTTCCCACCGAGCAATGAGCAACAGGGCATCTGAGAAGTTAAATTGATCGGTCCTTTTCTCAGTCCATCCACAGTGCTCGATCGGTTAACATCTTCACTGGACTACTAACTCGGCATAGTGTCGCATTCGTTGTGCAGTGTGAGCCGAAAATTTCCCCCCAGCAGAAATAGGATCCGTCTCGGAGGAGAGGTTTGTTTGGTTGTTTAAGCTTTTCCCGAAAAGAATAAGTGATAAAGATTGCCCAAGTCAAGTGTCTCTCAAGAGTGTGTAACTTGAGAAGTTCGTCTTTTTATTCCATTCGTTTGAAATCCCGTAACATTGTCGAATTGCACCAAATGGTGCAGTCAGCACATACATATGTTCGGGGTTTGAATGAAGAAGCAGGCAGGAATGTTGTGTCGCATTACATGTAGAATTTATGCGTTTTGATTTGTTCAGTAGTGCACAGAAAAGTGATGTGTTTGTTCTTTTGAACCGCAGAGATATCCGGAGACAGGCGGCCGAGCAGTCTGCATTGGTCCAGTGACGGGACTGCACGTGTTCTGTGTTTTTGGGAGGATTGTAAAGTGTGAGTACATCTAATGTGATTTTCAAATTAAAATAATTAATATATTTGATTCACATGAATGGCACCTTCCTATCAAGTGCTACTGTGCTTACTGTGTGTGTGGTTTGATAATTGTCAGTGATGATGATCCATGAACTCCTCATGTAGGTACTTCTGGTCTGTGACCAGCGAACGGCGGCTATCAAATCTGTACACTGTGCGAGAGATTATCAGTTTTCGCGTAAAACGCGTTGTGAAAAAGGTCAAGTCCGTTTAGAATGTGTTGCTGCTTTATTGCAGAGCTGTTTCTTCTATATCAGTCAGTCAGCTGCGAAATGTTTCCTAGATTGTGAATTATTACCAAGCTCCTACATATGTTGTGCTTGGCTAATTTATTTGTCTATTGCCTAAGAATGATAGCAGGGTGTCCCAATTTATGTTCTTGATAAGTTTACCAACAATATGATAGAATAGGGTGTTAGATACAATATAATATACAGGGTGACTGGCAATTCGTGTTACACCCGAAAAGAGGTGCAAGTAGACCACATTTACAGCAAAAAAATTACATGGCAAGGTAGGAGGAAAAATCATTCCTTACCGAGTTATTGATCTATTTACTTTTATTGCCGAGCAACACTACCACCTTTTGCTCGGGCACTCGCGAATATTACCAAAGCCCACCAGGGCGTAAGCATTGCTTGGCTACTATGATCAATCTTTGTTTACTAACCACTTTATTAAATTGGCCTCACAGGCTAGCTGTCGGATGGATTTGATCAGGTTCTAACCATTTAAAGTTACAACATTTTTTTTTGATTGCTTATGAATACCCGAACAAAATGCGACACTTTGAATCAGTAGAAAATTAATTGCTCAATAGCTCGGTAAGGAATGATTTTTCGACCTACCTTGCCATGTAATTTTTTTGCTGTAAATGCGGTCTACTGCACCTCTTTTCGGGTGTAACACGAATTGCCAGTCACCCTGTATTTAAATTATATTAAAATATGATTAAAGGTCGCACGCTTAAATTAGATATGAAATATTTTTTGAAGAACAACTTCCAAGAATGTATTTTAATAGTTTTTTTTGCTCAGGTCATAAATTGCTACGACCAACACAATGATCTTTTGTTATAATTCAAAGAGGTAGAATAATTTTCAAAATAAAGTTGCTCAATACCACTGGATTACCAGTTTGAATCCCCAAAATCAAAGGTCAGCCTTGGTATGGGTTGAAGAAATTAATTTCCTTTATCTAGAAGCATCGTTTAAATTCAAAATTTCAACAACAAAACTACTCAAAAATTATCTATTATCTGGAGGATGATTCAAGCAAATAAAAAAAAACTGATTCAATTAAAACTGCAATACGAAAACATTTATTATTTATCTGACTATTGAAAAGTGATCAAGTTGAACATTCAAATCAATGCAATCTTGAGCATGATTCAGATTTAAATATTAAATGGTGCTTCTCGTTATCAGTATTCAGATCATACTCATTGCTATGTTCAGCAAATTCAAAGTGCATTAAGGAGCCTAATTGTTAACAACAATAGAAACGTACTTTTCTCAGCAAAGTTGTTCATCATACAATTTTCTATCTTTTCGAGGGATAAAATCAGATAGGGGAAATGGATAAAATGTCGGTCTACATGCCCCTAATTTGGGCCTATACATAAATTCAGCAATCGACTAAATTTTCAATAGCGATCAAAAATATCCATTAATACCGTCCCAATGACGCGTTCATCTAGATAAAATTGACAAATAGCATATTTTTAGCGATGGGCCTAATCTAAGATCCATAGGCCAACATTAGAGCCAATTCCCCTGTTTGATAAAAATTTTTGATGAATAAATGCCATTATGTAGAATGCTATTTTTTGCTTTAGTTTTACTATTATTATTATAATTATTATTACTATTATTATTATTATTATATTCGGTTTAATGCCGCCGATACACTTGTATGACAAACTATGCACATAAGCATTGTTTGTACACTGAAACCTCCGTTTACGAAATCTTTTTTTACGCAGTATTCAGTTTACGTCCCTGATTTTACGAAGTAAATTCCAAATAACGAGTTTTTTTTGCGATTCTGGGAAACTGGAAAATACTGTAAAATATCCCACAATATGGGTATGTTTGGAATCAAGAAGACGTGTAGGGACTGGACATCCATATCTGACGCCATTTTGAAATTCAAGATGGCGGCTTCCGGTTAGCTTGAGCTTGAGCTTGAGCTTGAGCTTGAGCTTGATTGACCGCCCACGGTTGCTACTCTGTTATTGCCAGATCAGCTGTAATTACACAGAGAACCAATAGACGATGCTTGGGACTAGCAATCATCCTCAATGTGTAAAAACTGGTGATCTTAAATTAGGCAATACCAGCGCCGGCCGCGCCCGAACACAGGTCAAGAAAGGAATGGGAAGGATTGTGTTGACATGACACTCGCTTTGATGGAAGCCGAGAACACCTCTGCACTTCCACGAGGAATCACTGGGATGTTGGATAAGAGGGTTGGGTTTGCAGCAGGGTTCGTTTTGGTAAACGATAAGCTGAATTGATGTCCTAACGATCATATAACGCGAAGGAGCTTGGGACTAAACCCACGGTCTTCTGCTCAGTAAGCAAGAACGTTTGCCACTAGGCAGACGAGCACCTTTTTAATCACCGAGTTGCTGTTATTACCATGTAGTCGTATTAACAAATAAAACGATTGACGAATCTTGAATGTGGATGGGCCTGAGATTAGACTCATGATGTTCTGCTCAGTAAGCAAAAACGGTTGCTCTAAGGCCACCGAGCCCCTCATATCACATAATACCGTTGCTCAAATTTTTGTATCCATTCAAACCCGGAACCAACGACAACAACGAGTTTCGCAAAATACACGATACACAAGCGATTTTACCATAAATCTCTTTGATATGTAAGGACCTGGGACCGCGTTTTTCTGCTCAGTAAGCAGGACACTGTAACCGACGATCTTTCAAATCCGAAAACTAAAAACTACGAAAAAGTACTTAGGCCTTCATTAAGTTCCACTTTCACGCGACGTTCAATGTTTCAATTTGCTCTTTACGTATTGTTCAGGCTATAAGTAGGCTCTTTTCAAAAGTTACGCGAGAAATACGCACAATCGTCGCCTATACCTCGCAAAACTGGTTCCAAACGACAACAAAGGCATAAGCAACGATGGATTGTTGAACTTTGCTGGCTGGTGTAGTGCTGCTGAAAAAAGATAAGTCTATTATTTTGGTTAGTGATAGTTTGGATTTGGGTCACCCCACGTTGTGTTTAGGTTAGTATAAATAAATAATACTATTTAGTCATATAAATCACCACAGCTCATTATCTTCAGCGTTATCGGTTTTCGTTTCTGGATCTTTAGTTGCCTCTGTGATATACTTACTTGCGGCATACTATTTTGGGAGTGTATATGAGCGTGTACCATGTACGGTAGCTCATCTCTCATCGTGATGGTGGGACATAGTAGACAAATTAGAGAGAAAACAAGGAGGTATTAGTATTAGTTATATGTAAACAAACAAAACAAAAGAAGAGAAGCAGACAAATAAAAAAGGGATGAAGTAGATAACAAATAAAAGAAACGTAGGCAGATTATTAGAAAAGGCATTATCCGAGACTCGGCAATCAAATGTCACTCCCGCCGAGATCTCAGCGAAACCCCCTCCCCGCCGAGACCCACACAGCCGAGCTCGGTAGAAAAAAATAAGTGTGTAGATAGATTAGTAGGAAAATAAATAAAACTACTTTATGACTCAAAGTGCAATGAATGAGCGTTAGTTTCGGGATCATTTCAGTGTTAGAGTTATGTTAGTTTTGATCCGTAATCAGCCCTGCTGACCCCTCCAACATTAGTTGCAGGCAGTGGTTGTTAGATAATGCGGCACTGTAACTACTACTATTTTAGAGGTATGATTCGTCAAGTTTATACAACTCAATGTTTCAATTGAGCCAAACTATCTACCTTACAATTACAAAAGCAAACCGAAACTTACAATTATATGCAAATGCAAAATGAAACTTGACACATCATCGTCAATCCCCTTATTACAGGGCAGGGCCTGACGATTTGAATCTAATTTAATTTTGATCAGTGAACGGGCACCATATGGTACATTTTCTCAACATGAACCTATCATTTCCAGCCTATCTGAACTATTTAATAAATGGAAGCCTTAGCATGGGTTACGCTCCCCCTAAGCGGGCCCTCCGCATCCTGTCTCTGTCTTATCTCAAATACAAAATGCCAATGGTATGAATGTATCTATATATATTGGTCAGGCTTCAGAATCGTCCAGTGGGCAGTGCGCTCTACACTCCAAGTTACCTTTTTTCAAATTTACCGCAAATTTGATATTTTACCCATTGAGTGTTGATTAGTCACAATGAAACATTGTGGCAGAAGTTGAGGTTACTAGTGTATTAAATAATCTAGGTCCTATTTAGGATTATATCTGAAAAATCCAAATCTGGCCAACGCCCACCCTAAACCTAAACCTGTTCTAATCCACCTGAAATGACTAACGTATGGAAGACTTTGACTACCCAGCCATGCAATAGTCTCATTCCGTGCCTTATGGCAACTTGATGATTCTATTGCGCTCATCTTCTTGCACCACCCAGGGGAGACTTGGTCCTGTACCCAATGCTTAACTTATCTCCTTTCCACTCAGCTACTCGCAATTTCTTGTGATATAGTTGGCGGAATATTATTATATGAGACAATTCAATGCAGACGTCTTTCCAAATTTGGCAGATCGACAGGTAATCGGTGAGTTACCACGATAGTTGCTATTCAACAACTCGACAACGTCCCATCGTCAACGCCTGCTATGAGAATTTCCCATTGCAGACGCCAACGAAATGACGTCATCGAGCTATCGATCAACTACCCTGGTTATCGCCTGGTACCTTATAGCACGATGCTAGGAGGCGAACCGGAAGAATCGATGAGCTACCTCCCCCATCAAGATGGCG